GCAAAAGTAGAACATTCCGGAGGGGGTGAAACGGAAGAGCCAAACTTAATACGTAAAACTAGAACGCGTATTTTGACCTCTACGTGGCCAACCAATGGCTAGACATGGATACGTTTGCGGTCGTTGCCAAAAAGCTCCGCGTCCATCGCCTGGCGGATGCTCTTTCTGTACGTCTAGTACATCTATGATCATATACACCCAGCGACACCGATGCCAGCTGACTGTGAACATGAGCTAGCACTTTTGAGATATCAGGTCGTAAACTTGCTACTTTCTTTGCATCCTTCATCACAGCTATGGCATTACGGTCATGTGGATTAATTTTCTGACTTTGAAGAAAAAACATTTTGCCGACCTCAAGTCCATTACGATAACCATAATGAGGCATGCCGACGATGGTAACTTGTTGCATCACAATTTTGTCATGTGTGTGGGTGCGTGAATAAATCATGTTAATGAGGTCGACCAGAGTTTATTTTCAGTCTGTTTTTTATGTATTGCCATTTGGATATGTTTATGTATTCACAATAGTTTGTAAACATTTCACATCAGTAATAAAAGTTTTGTTTCATAACCCTGTCTGCGTGAACAAAATTATGCTAATTAGGTCATCGCCATTTTGGATTTCAAGCGGTCGTTTTTACCGACCGTTTCGACTTGTACTGATCACGGTTACTAAAAAAGTAACCTTGCATTGATTACAATACTTACCATACTTTGTAGCCAATTTCAGTGAGTAATACAACTTCATTCGCTGACATAAAACAAGTTTTATTCTTGAAATTCGACCCTGTGTCTTAGTGTTCCCACAGTTCTTGACCGTTTATTGAAACCTCGCATAAATCAAAAAATAAGTTCGTGTACAAAGTGTACGAAAGCATTCCTTTATTTGACCTTATCATACGATCACAAAAACAACTTTTTAAAATCTTTTTGGGGTGGTCCTCGGGTAAGCGCCCACCCCCAATTGTTCCTGATTTTGTAAGTCCAGGCCCCTGGGCGCGTGCCCTGGGTAATACGGTAACACAGTCAGCTGGCATACATGTAATAAGATAAATGCGGTCAATTTGCCGATATAAATTTACTATATGGGAGCAGCCATCTTGAATATGGCTTTAAAGGATGATGATCTTGGTTTCAAATACTGCAGGAAAGTGCTCTATGTTCTTTGTATAATTAGGTGTTTGTATGCAAAGGATTTTCCCAAACAAAAACAACAAATTTTGCCAAACAGTTAGCTTAATGTTACCCCAACGATCGTTTGGCTGTGAAATTTTGGTATTTTCCCCTCTGATTTAAATGAAACTAAAAAATGGCTAAAGGATGGCTGCCTCCTTATAGTAAATATTGATAAATTAATTGGATTTACTTTATTACCACTTGTATCACATGAACATTGCATGACTATTACATGGTCAGCAATGAGTATCACATGGTCATCACATGTTGTTTCAATGTCATTCTAATAAATAACTGTCTTCACTTACATGTGTACAACAAATGAAAACTAATTGTGATATTTAACATATATAGATACACTTCTCTTGTTAGAATGATCCTTTCAAGCTGGAGACTGGAGGCTTGGTAGATATGAAACAAATCAAAGACAGAAACAGAGACAGGTAGTGTATATAAATGCTGACATATGTCACCTTATATTGGAAATTAATATATATAATATATTTAATACATGTATCTTCTGAAATTTTGCTGATAAAGTCTTCAACTTGTGATATAACTTCAGCTATGAACCAAGTTCAATAGTTATGGTTTTCTTGAGTTATCTGTGTCGAATCCTGATGGATGGTTTTGGGTTCTCAACAAAATACTATATTGCATACAATGTTTAATCAAATGCAGATGAGACAATAAAATGAAACATTGATTGAAAATCCTGCATGCAGTTCAGTGATCTAAAGCGGGGGAGTTGTCTTTTACGCATGCAGCAAATGGCGTTGTGTCATTGTTTAAAAACAAACTTCTACCCATGAACCTTTGCATTTTTTGCATGCATTGTTATGTTGTTATCGTTGCATGCATAGGTGATGACCCCGTCACATTAATAATACCCTAACATGTTGGGTAATTATTGACATAT